CTCCTCCCCCCCCCCCCCCTCCTCCTTTCTGTTTCTGGTAGTGTGTCTTCCCATCTATTATATTTCTGGTGAACAATAAAACTTTCTTTATTTTGATTCCGAGGGAAAATTCTAATGCTCTAAGAAAGAAGGAGAGACTTTAGAGAGGACTGTACGGAATTTATTTTGTCTGTTCTTTATATTTATGATTCTTTGAAACTGTAAAGTTGTTTTTCTTTTCACAATCATTCAAAATGCCATAAAACTAACTTCATTTAATGCAACGTAGGAATTCTTATTTTGAAACAGTTTTAGGTCGTCTTTGTTCTCATTCTCTGTGGGTATCCCTGTTTAATAAACACACTGTTAACAAATCTTAACACTTTGATCGTAATTTACGCATTTTGTTCGGAATTATGAACATAATGTTTAGGAACATCTTACCAGTTTATAAATAACTAAGATTTTGTTTGTAATTGGACACTAGATGTTCTGAATTCCGAAATGATTTTGTTAACTTCAATAAAATATTATAAAAATAAAAATATTGTCTCTAGGAGTTCTGGAGAGTTTAGAAGAGAGCGTCGCAGAAAAGGCTCAAGAAAAGACGACCTTTCAAACCCTACAATTGATTTTGTGAAACCTATCCTAGAAGTGAGTCCAGTCTACGATGAAACTGCGAATCTAAAAAGTTTCTGTCGCGAAGTGATTACTCGAATATCAGATAGTTTGTCAAAAGACCAGTTTAAACGTGTCGCCATGTACCAACAAATCTGGTATCTGGTCTCTAAATATCAGATAACTGTCGAGAATCCATCCGACGACATTGTTGTGATTGTCGACGCGTTGTGTAAAAACCACGAAAGTTTAGTCGATCAGACCAACTTGATCGACGTCGACAGAAGTCCGGAAGTTAATATTTTCGACGACATGAACGATCTACCGTTTCTTTACGGATTTGAGAACGTGAACACAGAAACTATTCTGGAAATGAGAAAAACAACGGAACTACCGTTAAAGTCTCCGGAACTTCCGTTGAAGTCTCTCCAAGGTTCGGCTGAAACTAAAAGCCTCGAGCCTCTAAAAACAAGTGACAATGTTCTCGAATTCCAACAAACACACTCGTTGCCCACAATTCGAAAGTTAGGTAGGTCCACAACAATAAAAGAATTGAGTCTCTTTTTATTCACAAACTCTGATTTTCTAATCTCTAAATCTTTGCAACCCAACGTCAATGGGCCTTAGATAATTTAAACATTAGGTTTCAAAGATATAGTGATTATAGTTTCAGAGTTTGTGGCAAAATAAAAAAATGCAAATAAAGGAAATAGAAGTCCTGAATACTCGTCTCAAACTCTAGGTTTCTACTTCAAATATTTGAAACCCGATGGTGTAAACTTAAACTTTGACTAGTAAATACAGTGAAACGGTGGAAAAGGAATTCTATGTTTATTTGTGCTAAAAGTTTTTGCAGTGACTAATAAGTGAAATGGGTCTGTATTTACGTTGCACAATTGTGCAGTGTTTTTATATTTTCATTTAACTTTTAAGATCAAAACATGAGTCCATAGTTTTGTGGTTCTCACTATATATCTAGATCTAGAGGAATGTATGTTTTGGATATCAATTGGTCTACGTCATCAGGTTGCAAAGATTTATAACTTGGAAAATTTGAGTTTGAGGCAATTTTTTTAATGAAATATGAAAATACAGAAAAAGGATTTTTAACTCAATAATTCAAGAATCTTCATTTCAAGATGTTTGTTGGGGATAAATTCACAACGGTACCCGCTTGAAACCTTTATCTGATCAATAATGAGGAAGAAATCGTCGTTTTTTGTTTAATTTTGAGAATATCTCCATTGTTTCTGAAGCAAGAAATGCGCAAGTCGCTCCGCTAAGAAAGCAAACACGAAAATATACAGTTTTCATAAACAAAAAAGGGATAAATTAAATTGTTAATCAAACTCTATCGATAGAAGGTACCTTGATCCCTTTAAAATAAGAATGACGTTTCCAAGGGTGTAATGCAAGGAAAGTTAATTGCGGTCGTGTATACTCTGCGTGCATATTGAAACCAGTTCTCTTTGGGCGGAATTTGTAAACAAGAATAGATGCATCAGTGTTCGTTTAGTATTCGAGGAGGTTAAAAACATTAAATTTTGATAATTCAGATAATAGTTTCCTGTGACCAGAATATTTCATTGATTTTTTACATGAAAGATGGATCCCATGTCAGGCTTTGACATCCGTGTTGTGTTTACATTACCGCCCAAAGACAGTACACTGCAGTACAAAAGATGTGTACACTTCTGAAATAACTTTCCTTGCATTACATTCTTGGACGTTTCTAGATATTATGTTGTGAATATCTTTTGTTAAATTGTTTTAGTTGATTTACCCTACCGGACACCCTTCTACCCTGCTCGGGAAAAGGAAACCAAGAAAGAGAGTTCAACGTCTGGAGAATTCAATTTTGCTCCGGAAATGGTAAACCGGAAGTCAGCTGATGCAAGGATAAATCCTAAGGATTATCAGACGAAGGTTGGAAGTTTGATTGAAAATTTACAATTTTGGTTTCATGCATCAATAGAGTAAGGAACTAAAATTGAATTCAATTTTCGAAAAATTCTTCAAAATTTTGTTAAATATTTTTAGTATAATGCGACAAATTTCTAATATTCTTCTGATAATTTTTAAAACTTTTAATCGTTAAAACTATTTGATTCTATAAATATTTGCATGGTACAATTTCAAAAATATCAAATCATCAAACGACATCATTAATTTTTTCTATGACCTTAAATTCAAAGATACTGTGTTTATATTTTGATTTGTTTACTGAAATCCATCCTCTCAATAAAATTAAATCAAAACTATTTGAATCCACGCAAGGTTATAATGCAAGGAGAGTTAATTGCAGTTGCGTATACTCTGCGTACGTATTAAAATCAGTTCTCTCTGGCCGAAATCTATAGACAAGAATAGATGCATCAGTGTTCGTTTAGTATTAGGAGAGGTTAAAAGCATTAAATTTTGATAATTTTGATAATTCACATAATAGTTTCCTATGACCAGAATATTTCATTGATTTTTTATCTGAATGATGGATCCCATGTCAGGCTACGACATCCGTCTTGTGTTTACATTCTCACCCAGAGACAGTAAACTGCAGTACACAAGATGCCTAAACCTCTGAATTAACTTTCCTTGCATTATAACCTTGAATCCACGTAAATGATTTATGTCGTAATGCTCAAATATCAAATACATTTAAAAATCTGAGTAATTGTATTCCAATTTATTTTGTTGAGTTTTTAGATAAATAAATTTTTAAAAATAATCATATAAAAAATAAAGGAAATAACCAACGAGAGGCAGTATTTTGTAAACCAACCAACCGGCCTTCAGTTTCCTGGGCCAGGACCTACTAACCAGCAATATCATGAGATCGGACCTACTAACCAGCAGTATCATGAGATCGGACCTACTAACCAGCAGTATCATGAGATCGGACCTACTAACCAGCAGTATCAAGAGACCGGACCTACTAACCAGCAGTATCCTGAAGCTGGACCAACTATTGTGCAGTATTCTGGTGCTGGGCAAACAAACCTAAAGTATCCTAGGTAGAAAAAAGTTTTGTATTTTGAGATTTAAGATTTTATGTAAGACCAACATAAGATTGAGTAAGACCAATGTAAGATTGAAGTAAGACCAATGTAAGATTGAAGTAAGACCAATTTAAGATTGAAGTAAGACCAATGTAAGATTGAAGTAAGACCAATGTAAGATTGAAGTAAGACCAATGTAAGATTGAAGTAAGACCAACGTAAGATTGAAGTAAGACCAATGTAAGATTGAGATAAGACCAACATAACACTGAAGTAAGACCAACGTAAGATTGAGGTAAGACCCACGAGAGATTGAAGTAAGACCAACATCAAATTGAGATAAAACCAACGTAAGATTGAGATAAGACCAATGTAAGATTGAGATAAAAAAAAAACAACGTAAGATTGAAGTAAGACCAACGTAAAATTGAAGTAACACCAATGTAAGATTGAATTAAGACAAATTTAAGATTGACATAAGACCAATGTAAGAAAAATGTAAGACCAAGATAAGATCAACGTAAGACTAACATAAGATCAACGTATACTAACGTAAGATCAACGTCAGACTACGTAAGACTAACGTAAGACCAACGTAAGATTAAGTTAAGATTAAGGTAAGATCATGTAAGTCCAACATAGAATACTTGTCTGAGGGTCCAGCAAGAATATAAGTATATTTGTCTCTTTCAAGGTTTGCTCACTATTTGTATAATTAATTATTTTTAGAGTTGTTGCTTACACGCCAACCAAAGAAGAGGCCAAACAATCTAGGTAACTAATAATAGTAATAATAATCATAGTATTGAGTAATATTGTCATTGTTATCTAGAGGGACTGAAGCTCTTGTTCTTGAATCTAAATACCCTGAAGATGAGAAGAATGAAAAAATTAAACCTGCTTATATTGAGCATCTAGGAAAACAGATAATGATTAATTTAATGACTTCTGAGAAGGACTGAAGAGTCCGGACATTATTTCAAGTGACCCTCCTTCTATTCGCATGTCCTATTCACAAAGATATACCCTCAAAACCTTTATTTGATCACGATTCATGGATAAATTAGATATTCTTCTCTTTCTTTTGGAAAATTGATTACTTGCAATTGTGGTTCTCTACAAAAGTGACTTAAGGATTTATGCTTATAGATATAAGATAGAGATAATTTAAACAATCAGACATGCTTTTCTTTAACCAGAGGGTCACTTAAATTATGTAGACAGTCCTTTTAAGTAAACTATGAAAGTTTTTTTCATCTACTATTTAATAATATTTGTTCTGTGCAGAAAAGTATATGGAAAGACCAGACTTCCAAAAGCCCCGAAAAGTTGTCAATGACGACATTATTGAAGACAACTTGATGAGGATGAACGATATAATAACAGTTGCTGGAAGTGGAGTTGGGCAGGGAGATGTTGCCGGGTCCCCCTATTTAGAGCCGGAGGAGAATATGGGCATGTTTACTCTTGGACCAAGCAAATCTGATCCCTTCCAGCTTCACCTGGAGGATGGAAATATTCCTGTTATTCAGATTGATGTTGACCCTTACCAGATGCCTGGTAATTTTAACGCCTGGCTTTTTGGTGATTTAAAGTAATTCACCCGAGCTGCAGAATTATTTAATCATTATTTTATATCCAACATGGTAATCATACCTTTAACTAGACCATGAAAGTTTAAAAGTGGTATACTTTTCAATGCATATTGCGTAATTTTTTAGAACAAAATCAAATTGAACGTATTATTGAGCTAGTATTTACACAAGTTTAGGGTTAATATAACTAGTTTCCTTCACATTGTAGAATAAGTCCAAGAAACCTCTAATTTACTTACTTTGCGGGATGTTTTGCTACTTATGATTTCACTTGGAAAGTTAACAAAAGTACAATCTACCGCTGAGTACAATTGATTTATTTAAAAGAATAAATAGCTGATTATCAGTTAATTCAAAACTTGATGTTTTTATATTAAATAATGTTGTTTACTTGAGGTGTTGTTACTCCTGGATTATCTGGGGATATAATCACTGCTAAACCATACCTGGAGATTAAACCCAACCTAAACCCAGGTATAGCTAAACCATACATGGAGATTAAACCAACCTAAAACTAGGTATAGGTAAACCATACCTGGCGATTAAACCCAACCTAAACCCAGGTATAGGTAAACCATACCTGGAGATTAACCCAACCTAAACACAGGTATAGCTAAACCATACCTGGAGATTAACCCAGCCTAAACCCAGGTATAGGTAAACCATGCCTTGAGATTAACCCAACCTAAACTCAGGTATAGGTAAACCATACCTGGAGATTAACCCAACCTAAACCCAGGTATAGGTAAACCATACATGGAGATTAAACCCAACCTAAACTCAGGTATAGGTAAACCATACCTGGAGATTAAACCCAACCTAAACCCAGGTACAGCTAAACCATACCTGGAGATTAAACTCAATCTAAATACAATTTTAAAAATCTGAAAGACCTAATATTTGAGTAGAGATAAAGTTATATGAATTTTACAAAAAACGTTGAAACATTTTTGATTAAAATTGTTTACTAGGTGTTCCTGGATATAATAATGCTGGAGTAGGATATCCTTCTCAAGATGGATATCCGGATCCTACTGCACAGGATATATATGTATCCTCAAGCTTAAGGTACTTTATTGAACTATTTCAAATGAACATACTTAAATTAGATAATACCACCAGTTTGTTTTAAACAAACCCCATGTTTAGTTTGAAATAAGGGTTCCTTGAGATAATACCACCAGTTTGTTTTAAACAAACCCCATGTTTAGTTTAAAATAAGGGTTCCTTGAGATAATACCAACAGTTTCTTTTCAACAAACCCCACGTTTAGTTTAAAATAACCTGATTCCTTGAGATAATGCCACCAGTTTGTTTTAAACAAACCTCATATTTAGTTTAAAATAAGGGTCCCTTGAGATAATACCACCAGTTTGTTTTAAACAAACCCCATGTTTAGTGTTAAATTAGAGTACCTTGAGATAATACCAACATTTTCTTTTAGACAAACCCCACGTTTAGTTTAAAATAACCTGATTCCTTGAGATAATGCCAACTGTTTCTTTTAAACAAACCCCATGTTTAGTTTTAAATTAGAGTACCTTGAGATAATACCAACATTTTCTTTTAGACAAACCCCATGTTTAGTTTAAAATAAGCTGATCATTTGATATAATACCAACAGTTTATTTTCAACAAACCCCACGTTTAGTTTAAAATAAGCTGATCCCTTGAGATAATACTATTATCAGTTTCTTTTAGACAAATCCCACGTTTAGTTAGAAATAATGAATAGTATAATTGGAATATAAATATGGGGTTTATAACAGTGAAGTCGAATTTTAGATTTAGATTTTTCTTTTGAAAGAATATTTTTGTGTCATACTATTATACAGGGTGTCTCACGAAACATGACAGTAAAAATAGTTTTGAATGTCGTCTTTTATAACTGTAATCATGATATTTCAGACTTTAGGCAGTTTATTTTGGCTCATATACATTTTTAAAAATAAAAAGAAGAATTTTTTTAGACTTTTATTAAATTTTTAGTTTTGGAGAATCCGGTAAACGCGAAGTACCCGGCAGTGAAAATACCGGAAGTGTTCTCAGAAAATCCGGAAAGAAGATTGATGTTGATCCGCCAAAGTTTCGAAAGGGAATGGTGGAAAATATCCCCCTACCTACCTATCCACCAATCGTCAAAACTTCAAAACTTAAATTCGTAACTTCGGTAGTGAACAACCAGCAAGGTAGGAACTAGACAATTCTTTGAAATTTGACAAATTTTGAATTATGTCTTTTTTTTAAATTATGATTGTTTTGCGGTATTTGAGCATATTCTTGCTTGTTTAAGTTTTAAAGAGATTGAACTTAATCAATTATATCAATTTGAAATTGAAGAAAATAATATTACAAAATAGCTCTAGATTCTTTTTAAATATTTTTTTTTTTATAAATTTTAATTAATTTCACGAAGCTGAATATTTTAAGTGCAAGTTTGTTTTTGCAAAATTCAAGAAATTTTAACAAAATTTGCTAAAACGATTAAAATTAATTTTTTTAGAAGGCCCAAGTACCGATCTTTTTCTACCGTCGCCTTCTGCAGATGGTTCTAACTATCCAACCATTTCAACATATCCAAATCCAGTCCAAACCTCAGGTCAATATGTTGTGAGTTTGATTCGAATAGTGTCTTCAAATATTCACAAATCAAATGCAATTTTTTCGCTTAAAGGGATTGTAAGCGTAATTTCAAGTGACCCTATATGCAAAGATGACAATGCCCGATTTACAATGGTACACTTGACAGCTTTGCAAGGTCAAGTATGAATTAGAGATAGGGTCTCCAACGAACGAAAATTTCGGGAAAAAATACGAAAATTTTCGTTCGTATTTTACAAACCTTTTCACGAAATTTCGCTTTTTTTCTCAAAAATGGGTAAAGCGAAAAAATGTGAAATTTCGCGAAAACCATAATTGTTGTAGCTGCAACAGGGCAAAAATTCTTTGCTCTGAGAGCTCAGCAATAGAAATTTTGTTATATTATAAATAATAATTTTTCTCTTCTGTTTTTTTTCGTAAAATTTTCGCATTTTTCCCGCCGACTTTTTCGCATTTTTTCATCGCTAAATTTTCGCAATTCTCTTTTAGCGAAAATTTCAATTTTTTTAGCTAATCAGATTAAAGCGAAAAAGCGAAAATTTTGCATTTTTCTCGAGCGAACAAAATGCGAAAAATTCAAAACTTTCACGAAACGATTTACCCTTTTTACTGGAAACCATAATTAGAGAGCAATCTAAAAACTCATTATTTTCGATTGGGGTTTCTATACAAATGTGAATTGTGCATTTCTACTGCAGGAAATCATTTAGGAATTATAAGAAATAAGCACTCATAAACCTAGAATAACGACAATATTTTTCCCATTGTTGATCAGATAAATGTTTCAAGGGTACCGTTGTGAATCAGGCATAGCCATCTTTGCCTGAAAGAGTATTTGAAATTACGCGTACAGTCCCTTTAAAAGATGAGTTTTAGCAGTGGCATCCGTATCTCTAAAATGATTGATTTACAGTCGAGAGAAAACATATAAAATAAGTTGATTGCAATTCAATACTAAATCATAATACGACTTTTTGGTCCTGTAAATCCTGCATAGCCTTTAACACGAAAAAGTTTTGTTTAAGAAATAAAAGATGTCATGACTCATGCTAACATAAGATTTATTTTAATGCTAAAGGATACTTTAATTCGTATCATGCGAGGGTTGCTTGTGCTTACAGTCCCTTTACGCATTAATTAACTAGAAGTGTAACCACCAATTACTCTGTTCGTTAAATTACATTATTTACTTGCATTGATGGTTTAGTTTGAATATAAATTACTTATTAATTGAATAAAGCACACCACCAGCCAGCACTAGTTCACAACTGCCAGAATTTGTTTAGTCTTCTTTATTATAAACATCTAACTGGGTTTTAGTAAAAATACAATATTTTTTTTTAATTTTGAAAATTTTAAACTTCTTGAAGAATTTGTGTTGTATACAAAGTAAAGAAAGCAAAATGCCCTTCTTGTGAGATTATTTAATACTTTTCAGGACAAAGTAGAGAGAATATAGATGAACAGCAAGGTGAACCAACAAGATCACAAGAACAATATACAAAAGAAGCGGCAAACTTTATGCAAAATCGCCTAATTATTGGCCCGCCGGATAACCGCCGAAATCTAGGAGGTCCAGAGAAACGTGTTCTAGTGGGTGGGTTCTACCCTGCTGCAGATATCTACCAGCAACCTGAACCTACAGGTCTAGAAGTAGACCGGGAGTATGGATATGACATTCAGGAAATTAGAGTGAATAAATATAGAGTCTTTATTTCCCTACACCACTCATCCCCCCATTTCCTGCCTGGGCTAGCTGGAACCACATGGCGATCGCCTTGGTATCTTAGCTAAAGTGCTACGTGTAGTTTAATAAATATATCGCTATAATAGAGGTCACTGAGTCTGTAGAAAGCTGAAAGAAAACAGCATTCTGCCTTCTTTCTTTTAAAAACTTCACATACAAGCTTTAAGCAAGCGCCATCCTGCGTGAGAAATGTTTTAAAATCCACATCTTATTCCGCTTATACAGGGTGTCCCAATAAACATGGGAATTCAGTGACGAAATCAATTTAGTCTTTTTAAATAATTCTTTGATTTAGTATAGTGATAACAACTGAGAAAGCTGTAATCAATAAGAGTTTCGTCTGCTATGTTTACATTTCGTTTGTTTATGTTTTGACTGTATACGGTTGTACTTAGTAAAACAAGAAAATTACAAAAAAATTGCAGTATACAATAGAGTAAACTTGTCCGTCTTCTCTGTTCATCTCGCGGAGACATTATAAACACATCTTTACAGTCTTTTACCCTTTTCATAAAATAAACTCCACCAGACATAATAATATTATGGGTTTTGAAATTAGGTATTACAATGCTAATTCATAACTGAATTTCCATGTTTTTTGGGACACCCTGTACTCTATATTTATTCACTCTAATGTCAGGAATCATATGACAATCATAAGATGGATAATATCGAGAATATTGATGGTTATATTGACACTAGTAAAGGAGATCATACTAAAAATAAACAAATTAAAGAATCAAGCAAAAATAAAGCGTTAACTCTTCACCAACTATCACAGAGGTATTTCATTTTTTAGTATTTTGATTTTGCTATGCATTTCTAATTCAACTTGATGTTGATGTTTTTAACAGTGAAACTGTATATTTTTGTTTTCAAAATTAGTTTAACCTTTAATTTTAGATTATCCACAGAACCAACACTTCCTCAAGATTTTACAGACGGACCGTTCAGGTGATTTGACATCATGATCTTATCTTCATACAAGCTTGGGAACCCAGCGTTGCCCAGGTTATGGATATCTAATTCATTCTTGATCAGACAAAGCTTTTAAGGGTACCTGATTCCTACTACATATGTAAATCAGACATTGCCATCCTTGCATAGCGGGTCATTTTAAATTATTCTTACAGTCCTTTTAAACTCAAGAGAAACATATTTTGTTTTAAAAGAGCTATAGATTGAAATAAGAATGTATTATTCAAAAGATACCAACGTGTTTATTTCAGAAAATACACACTCTTCGACATGGCTGACGCTGTTGCCCTTAGACATGGTCCTAATGCAGAACCGGTTCCGATGTCAGCTGTTCACAAACCTAAATCAGCTGTTAACACAAAAATGGACGACAGTCTTTACCTTGACCAGTATGATACAGCAACAGAAGAGTACTTATATGATGATAATATAATCCAAAGTTCGTCCAGCATCCCAATTCTTGTTTCACCAGATAAAAAGGAAAAATCCCTAAAACGAGAAGTTGTCAAGAATGACCTAGAAAAAACAGAGACAAATAAGAAAACTGAAAGTAGTAAAATGGATGAAGAAACGAAAGAAAAGAAAGAAAAAATGAGAAAAAATCAAGATTTACTGGACAAACTTTTAGGTTTGGAGGTACGGATATCTTTTTAATACACATTGAATTAAAACCTTTTTAAAATTTGAATCTGTATCAATAATTCCAATATTTTCAGCCTTATCAAGAATTAGAAGATGAAATTGCAGAACTAGATTTAACTCCCTCTCCTTCAATGATCTCTGACAATCCGCTAAACATTGATTACTATGATTATTATGACGTGATAAATAATACCCAGGTGCTATAGGAATACATATTTCATTTAAGTGCACTGCGGATTAACAGTGATTTAATTGCATTGATTATTGAAATTATAAATTTTAAATTCCAAAAATTTTTCAGGACCTTCAGGATTTAGAGTTCTTATATAACATAACATTCTTGGAGGATTCACTCGAACGTCCGAATGGTGAACAATCAGCTGAAAATTCAGCTTCTATGAAAAATCCGCTAAACCAAGTATCCCTGCAGGAAAAACCGGTTTCTGTTAACGATGAGAAGAGGGTTAGTTCCTCTCCAAGCCGGCTGCGTGGGTTAGATATGACTGATGAAGAAAATGTTTACCCAGATATAAGTATGTTCCCAGACTCAATATTTAAGGTAACATTATCCCATCATTTAAAAGTTAAAATGTGAAGATAAATCGATTTGATAGGATCTTATATGAATTTGATAGATTTTCTAAAAACAGATAAAAACAGTCATTAACAGTTATACACAGTTACAAAGAAACAAATAAACACAGTTTTAAACAGTTAGAATTAAAAACAGTTATAAACAGTTGTAAAAAGTTATAAACAGTTAAACAAAGTTATACACAGTTAAATAAACAAATAAAAACAGGTGTAAATATAGTTATAAACAGTTATTAACATTTGTAAACAGTTAAACAAAGTTATACACAGTTAAATAAACAAATAAAAACAGGTGTAAATATAGTTATAAACAGTTATTAACATTTGTAAATGGTTATAATGAGCCTTAAAGATTTATGAACAGTTATAAAGAGTTATAAACAGTTATAAACAGTTATAAACAGTTGTAAACAGTTATAAACAGTTCCCAAGTAACAAAAGTGAGGAATTTCCCCAGATTCAACAACCGTGGTGACTTTCTTTGAGGAATTTCCGAGGAATTTCTCGAGAATCATTTCCTGTAACTGATTCTTCGAAAATTCTCGAGAAATTCCCAAGAATTGGTCCCCAAGATTAGAGATTTTTGTGGGATCACAGTTTTGAGACTCAGTTTCGAGAAATTCCTAAGAAATTCTCCGGAATTTTTCCCCACGAAATTCCTCAGAATTTCTCCAGAAATATTCTCTGGAATTTCCTGAGAAATTCTTAGGACTTTGTCACCATGTTTACGGATTTTCGGGGAATTTATTAAGAGAATTCGTTTCGAGAAATTCCTGGGAATTTCTCCGGAATTTTACCCCAAGAAATTCCTGAGAAATTCTCCTGACTACTTCTCCGGAAATTCCTGAGAAATTCTTAGGACTTGGTCACCATATTTAGGTATTTTAAGGGGAATTTAATAAAAGAATTAGTTTCGAGAAATTCCTGAGAATTTCTCTGGAATTTCACACCAAAAAATTCCTGAGAAATTCTCCAGAATGCTTCTCCGGAAATTCCTGAGAAATTCTTAAAACTTGGTCACCAAGTTTATGGATTTTTCGGGAATTAGATAAGAGAATAAGTTACGAGAAATTCCTGAGAATTTCTCAGGAATTTTTCTCACAAATTTCCTAGGAATATTTCTCCGGAAATTCCTGAGAAATTCTCAGGACTTCCTCACAGAATTTTCAAGTTCCGTTTTTCACCAATAGGTGTCTCTGAGGTTCTCTTCTTTTATGCACTGCTCAAACTAAATCTTTTTTCTTTGTATCCTTATTGATAAAAAATGATAATTTACTTCAGAACCATTTTTTTAAAAATATTTAAAAATTTTAAAACATTTTTTTTATTTTTTCTTGACAATTCACTTGTCTGAATAAACAAAATACATGACAACTTCAGTAAGATCAAAAACGACTATAACATTCTGACTTAAGAAGATGGTTATACTTTTTTCTGAAGAAATGGTAACAAGAAATTCCCTAGAATTGGTTACAAGAAATTCCTTGGATAGAGTTACGAGAATTTCCTCGGAATGGGTTATAAGAAATTCCTCGGACCTGGTTCCTCGGAATTGGTAACGAGAAATTCCTGGGAAAAGCTGTCGACATTTTCACCGGATTTTCCTGTGAAAGATTCCTGGGAATTTCCGCGGATTCCCAGGAAAGATTCCTGGGAATTTCCGCAAAATTGTTACTTGGGTTATAGCTATGAATATTTATAAACAGTTATAAACGTAGCTATAATCAGTTATAAATAGTTATAAATAGTTATAAACAGTTATAAATAGTTATATACAGTTATACATAGTTATAAACAGTTTTTAACAGTTATAATCAGCTATAAACAGTTGTAAATAGTTAGAGCTTTAGAGAGTTATGAACAGTTATAAAGAATTATAAAGAGTTATAAAAAGTTATAAACAGTTACAAACAGTTATAAATAGTTATAAACAATCATAAACAGTTTTAAACACTTATAAACAGTTATAAACAGTTATAAACACTTATAAACAGTTTAAACAATTATGAATAGTTAAAAACAGTTATAAACAGTTTTAAACAGTTATAAACAGCTATAAATATTTATAAACAGTTATAAACAGTCATAAACAGTTATAAACATTCTAAAATAAAAAGGGTGTGTGAATATAAAGGTTTATGCAAAAAGCGTGGGAAAGTTGTCCACTTTAAAATACCATAATGGTTTTAATTACCTACAGAAATAAAATATCAGACAGTTTAGTTGATAGTTAATCTCATAATATTGAAGACCAATTAATCATTAGAAATATGGATCAGGACAGTACATAATTCATTTCCTAGTCGCAGGGCGATATTCATTTACATGGTCTACAGCATAGATTGTCTACTGTCTACAGTTTTCGAAATTATATAAAAAATTCGTTTACCGCTCTACCATTACTTTCAAAACCATTTCTGATCTTAATTCATATCAAAGTTATATTGGCGATTCAATTCAATTCTATTTCGCTATACAGGGTTACCCACAAAGGATGAGACTTTAATAACGACCCAAAACTCTACATATAATTATGAATATATGAATCTTTTCCCTTTTAAATGATTAAAAAAATAATTTTGCAAGTAAATGTTAAAAAAATAAGAAATTTCAACTTGTGTGGGTCACCCTGTTTATTTTGCAGAATAGAAGTGAGGGTAAACAGTATATTGACAAGAGAAAGAAGCTGGAACATCAACTAGAGATAAAACCCCCTCAGGTAGTGTTGTTAATCGGTTTGGATCGTTAAAGAAAAACGTCTAAGATGTTTATGTTAAAATTTGCTTTTATTAAAGTTTGCATCGTTTTTTTCGCAAGAGTCTTTTGCCAAGGTCAAATTTTGGTATGGCGTAATAAAACCAGATTTATTTACTCCAAATTTTGAAAGAAATTATAGGCACAAAGCGACCCACAAGCGAACCAACTGAAGACACATAACTACTTTTAGGACTCCCTGAAGGACTCCCTGAAGGACTCCCAGAATACTCCTGGAGTAGTTGGAACAAGGGAGGACTCCAGGATAACATCAGGAGTTGGAGAAGATGATTATGATCTCAAAGGGCTAAACCTGGATGGACTTAACATTAAACAAGTGCTAGAGCTTACAGGTTATACAATATACAATATACAATATACAATATACAATATACAATATACAATATACAATATACAATATACAATATACAATATACAATATACAATATACAATATACAATATACAATATACAATATACAATATACAATATACAATATACATACAAAACTTTTAACAATTTTACCTTTCAACTCTGAAAGTCGCCATTTTTAAACGCTCTGAAATTTCGCGGATTTATCTGTTTGAATTGGGGCATTTTTCCCTGGAGTTGTGCGAATTGCTCAAAAATATTGGGCTCGATCGGTTCAGTCGTTTTACGTTTTTTTTTTTGGATAGAAACAGCTAGACAATATATGTATATAGATAAACATAAGCAGACAATATATGAATATCACGCGGATTTAAGGGTTTGGTCCTCAATTAAGGAAGTATTGACTGTTTGAAGTTTGTCATTTTGGCTCAGTTGAGTTCATGAATTGAGTTTTTCGAATTTTAAAAATGTTATGGAACTTTATTAGTGTCTGAAAAACATTCAAATCTTCTAAACAATCTTAAAAATCCAAGATTTAACAAACGAATTAAAACTGGCCTCGGAGAGAGCAGTTGCTAGAATAGACGTTGATATGTGCAGGAGAGCAGTTATGAATGTAAGGAATAGAGCAGAAAAATATATTGCAAACCATGGGGGGCATTTTGAGTAGAAAGACCATAAACATGTATTTGTATCAATATTCTATATCATTTTTGTAATTGTAAACCCTAATTTTCATATATTGAAATAAAATATGAATATGCAGTGATAATTTTTTGTTTTACCTATTACAATGTCAATTTCAATTTTCAACCAAGCCAAAATGACAAACTTCAAACGGTCAATACTTCCTAAATTTTACTGCTACATACCTCTAATTGAAATCAATCGATCGGTAATGTTCCAAAGATTTAAAAAATGTACAATTTTTAAAAAACTGAACCATGGCGAGTGCTACAATGTCTTAAAGATCGTTTTTTTGGGACACCCTGTAGATAAACAGAAACAGACAATATATGTATATAGATAAATAGACTATATATGTATATAGATAAATAGACTATATATGTATATAGATAAACAGAAACAGACAATATATGTATTTAGATAAACAGAAACAGACAATATATGTATATAGGTAAACAGAAACAGACAATATATGTATATAGATAAACAGAAACACGTCAGCCTGTTTAAGCTTGTCAGGACTTAAAGGCAAAGGTCTATTATATACACTCTCTTAAAGGGACTGTAAGCGCAATCTGAAGTGAACCTCTATTAAAAAAATCTCAATGCTCGATTTACAGCGGTCCCCCTGAAACCTTAACCTGATTGAAAATGTGGATGATATTGTCGTTTTTCTAATTCTAAAAGAGGTAATTCACTGTTTCTTATAAACAAGAAATGCGCAAGTCGCTTTCAGAGAAGAACTGCAAATGAAAATAAACAGTTTGAAGAAACAAAAATATTGATATCTAATTTATACTTAGACAAACAAAGCCTTCAAGGGTACCGTTGTAAATCGGACATTGTCATCTTGCATGGAGGGGCTCACTTGAAATCCGCTTACAGTCCCTTTAAAAACAATTTAAAACAATTTATCTTTAACTATTTAGATGCGAATGTAAATGGAGTTTTGAAGGATATTGTACCAGAACTGGATTTATCTAATATAGGCATTTTTTACATTGTATTAAAGTTTGAACTCAGCTTTTTAAAACAAGCATTTACTCTTCAAATTTTTAAAACAAGCATTTACTCTTTTTAAAACAAGCATTTACTCTTCAAATTTTTAAAACAAGCATTTACTCTTCAAATTTTTAAAACAAGCATTTACTCTTTAAATTTTTAAAACAAGCATTTACTCTTCAAATTTTTAAAACAAGCATTTACTCTTCAAATTTTTAAAACAAGCATTTACTCTTCAAATTTTTAAAACAAGCATTTACTCTTCAAATTTTTAACATTTCTTTTCGATCTAACAGACACAGAGCATGTTTTCAAAAATAACTATTTAGATAAAGTTGTAAAATTTGTTGAAAATTTGCATATGTAAAAATTCTTTGAAATAGATCTAATTCTTAACTCTGGCCCCCTTCCTGAAAATATTGAGGTATGATATATCTTTTAAAAAAATTTTACTTTTTTTAAAAATAAATATTTATTATTTTTTCATGAAGATCATGAAATTTTTGTAAAAATATTTAACTATTCTAAAATTGATATCTATAGGATGATGAAAAGTTGGGTATCACAGGTCATCATGTAAACCATAGGTAAATAGAAATGGACTTCTTAATAATAAATTAAATTAAGATTTCTGTATTTTAAGATTAGCTTGAGAACCCAGCTCTGTTTGGAAACTATAAAATCCAACCCACTCGATCTAAAAGATCCCCATGGTTCTTCCGAGTTTCCCAATCAAATCAAAATTTGAGGCAATTCGGGCAAGGGGTTCAATTGAGTCATAATAGGACATACAAAGAAACTAACCGAGATTACTACTTTATAATTATTGATATACAGCAAATGAATCAAAGACGTTTTTTCAATGTTTAAAAATTATACTTCCATTAATTTGATTTTCTTCAAATGATTAATTACTTGAATTAAATCATTGACAATATCATTGATTAAACCGGTTAGAAAAATCTTGTGGAAAATTATTTGGTTGAAATTTAAAAAAAATGTTAAATCGAGCAATCTTCCGAATCGGGGTTTAAAAGTGAAAACTTGGAATTTCAAAAACCATCTAGAAAATTGTCACAAACCTCTTTTTTTCTAATCCTTATATCTTTGAAATCAAACTAAGATTTTTTATTAGATTATATATATCTAAGTTTGAAATAGCAAATGTTTACACCGTCAGTGTCCGAATTTAATGAATTTGAGCCTCGTCTTAAATCCGCCAAATATTGGTTTCAATTGAGTGCTGGCTTAAATCTTAAAACATTGAATACAATTTTAAGTGAAACCAACCATATTTGAGCCGTGGCTTAAATTTAAGCCGCCGATCAAATTCCTAAAATTCGGCCTCTGGTTGCAGATACATAGGAATGAGAAAATCATAGTTTGACTAGAGTATTCAGTTCCTTGTTGGCATAAAATTCACTTAATAGCGCTTAATTAACACGTTTACTAATTTAACAAATGACCTTGAATTAATGACCTTCTCTTGTCTGCAATAGTTTTAATATTTTCGTAATTTATTGTAATAGGGGTGGGGATATCAAACATTCAAAATGTGGGCCATTTATATAACATTAAAGATACACATTATGACCCCCCCTCCCTCAAACTTCGTCTTTCCACCCCCCCCCCCTCGTCAATTGTCTCCCAATTAACACCCCTGATTTATTACACTGTTTGATCTCAACTGCTGCGTGACGCGGACACGAACTGTAGGTTTATCGATGCGTTACAGAAATAAAGGATTTTGTTTCTCTATAATACATAAATGTATTTATTGATGAATAGGATGTCAAAAAGAAGCCCTTGTGGTGTTTCCTTGCATTTATTGTCATGCTTGGTACTTTTATTTTACATAATCTTATTATATGAAAGAGGATATTTGAGGGGGGGGGGGTTCCCTTTCATTGATACCTGCAGTTAGGGCTGGGCACGTTCCAACTTTTTTTAGCCGTTTTGTTAACTGTTAGTTCCAACCGCTAAAAAAGAAAAATTTCAGATAGCCGTTTATTTTAAAGGTGAGAACGGAACGTTTGTTTCGTTAACGGGATTTACCATTAAAAAAATACCGTTAGTTAACGATCTCAATTTTATTAACGACGTCAACGGAAAATTTTCAACAATTGTTAACGGCTTCAGTCGTTAATAGTAACGGTCTATTTCAGTATTAATACGCGAAGAGCAAAAAAATTCTTTAACGGTGTGGCCGTTAACGGTCTTTTGTAGCTTATTAACGGCGTTAACAGTTTGTCAAATTGTTAACGGCACTAGCAGTTAAACTTTATTTTATAAGTTTGATGCAGTTTTAAGCAGAAAAAAACGAAATTTACTGTTTAAAAAAAATAATCAGTTCCGTTTTTGTTTTCAACCGTTAATTTTGTTTTCAAAATTGGCTACTCTGTTTCGTTAATGTTTTAGAAATTAACGATTTTTGACTTTCGTTACTGGACTCTTCCATTAATTTTCGCAAACCTTCGTTTGTTAACGTAACTTTGCCCAGCTCTACCTTCAGTCTGGAGTATGAAAGGGTGTATGAATGCATAATGCAATAAGTTTATTGTTTTTGTAAATTTGACGAGGGTAAATTTTAGGAAACCCAATTTTATCTTCAATCATCTAAATTTTACCAATCAACAAATAAAATAGATCAATTAAATTTGATCAATTAATCAATATAGTTTAATAAATTTATCAATATAATTTGATCATTTAATTAATATAATATCATTAATTAATGAAAATTATTTGATTAATCATCAAATCAAATTTGATCAATTAATTATTTTAATTTCCTATTTTATAGAACACACAGTATACCGGAGTTTGCTAACAAGATGAAGGACAAAATGAAAAGTATTTCAAAACTTCCAAATCCAGGTACTGATGCTTCCAATTCCAAGTACTGATGCTTCCAATTCCAGGTACTGATGCTTCCAATTCCAGGTACTGATGCTTCCAATTCCAGGTACTGATGCTTCCAATTCCAGGTACTGATGCTTCCAATTCCAGGTACTAATGCTTCCAATTCCAGGTACTGAAACTTCCAAATCCAGGTACTGATGACTCATGGGTATCGCTTTCAGATCTGTTTCTTAAACATTGAAAGTTTTTAAGAGGCTTCACCAAAATCTGCAAAATTTATACTTGACAAGTTTCATTTTATTACATGTTGCAAGATATTTATTCTGACCAACGATAATCCTTTTTCGTTTAAATTTTTTTTTTGTAAATATCTGTGATTAGTGAAAAACATAGCTGTTGTATGCCTCTCTTTTTAAACTGATAAGCTAAAAACTTTTTAGGATTTGAGCCGGAAAACGTTTTGAACTCAAACATGGTTCCTAGGAATGAAGAACATATTGGAAAAAGTTCTGTAAACCCTGAGAAAGGTTTAGAAATCGAGAATATAAGAAATAATTATTATCCAAATGAATCAAGTGCAGAGCAGAGGTGTGTATCAGTTTTTAAAACAAAATAGACAATTCCTTTATAAGTTTATACTGTTAAAAACTCAATTGCAAAACTTTTCATTCTGCGATGTAATGTATGTAGCTGTAGTATCAGTACTGATTGAACCCAACTTCCTCTTGAAATCGAGGTTTCGTGAGATGAGTTGGCTGATTGTCTAAGTTCTCTATGAGTGGGACTCATAAAATTATGCGATTTTGTAGACGAAATTTCATCAATTTTACATGAAATTGAAAAAAATACATTTGTGAACAGGTTTTCAGCTTTTCATTCTTGGTTGTAATTTTAAAGATAATTTTCATAAAATAATTCTTTTTCTTTTCCTAGACATGAAGATGTTGAGATGTCAATCAAACAAGAAGCCCATCAAACCACAATCAAAGGTAGTGATACAGATTATAGATTTTACAATAAATGTGATAGGACCACTTTCCATATCCCATATATATTAGATAACAAACAGTGATGGTAGAACCACAGATTACACAAGCGATTTGGTAGAATCACAGATACCAAAGAAAAAACAAAAGGTGTGATAGAACCACAGATCACTCAGTCAGGACAAGAGACATGCCAAAACCACAGATCACAAAACAAAAAACTGACAAGCGCATGAAAGAATCAGAGATCACACAGTCATGACAAGACATGTGACAGAACCACAGATTACAAAGTCAGGACAAAAAATGTTCTAGAACCACAGATAACAGAGAAATAACAAGAGACGTGATAGAACCATAAATTTCACAGGCATTGACAGAGATTTATTGATTGGAATACCCATCTTCCGTCCTATCTGTGAAAACTGTTGGCTGATCATATCAGATTTCATCTCAATTAATTATGATTTTTTTCAAAAATCAAAACCTTGAACAGTCAGATAAAATCTAATAAAACATTTTGAATTTAATTAAAGATACTATTTCTCTCTTTTAACTATTTTGCTCCAACTCTAAATATGGATAATGCAGGGGACTCCCAACTCCCAATATACATAATGTAGTAACACCCAACTACCAATATAGATAATGCAGGGACCCCCAACTCCCAATATAAATAATGTAGTAACTCCCATCTCACAAAATAGATAATGTAGGGACTCCCAACTACCAATATAGATAATGCAGGGACTCCCAACTACCAATATAGATAATGCAGGGACTACCAACTACCAATATAGATTATACAGGGACTCCAAACTACCAATATGCATAATGTAACTCCCATCTCACAATATAGATAATGTAGGGACTCCCAACTACCAATATAGATAATGTAGGGACTCCCATCTCACAATACAGATAATGCGGGGACTCCCAACAAACAATATAGATAATGTAGGGACCCCATCTCACAATATTGATAATGCAGGACTCCCAACTCTAAATATGAATAATGCAAAGACTCCCAACTCTAAATATAGATAATGCGGGGACTCCCAACAACCAATATAGATACTGTAGGGACCCCATCTCATAATATAGATAATGCAGGACTCCCAACTCTAAATATGAATAATGCAAAGACTCCCAACTCTAAGTATAGATAATGCAGGGACTCCCAACTACCAATAAAGATTATGCAGTTACTCCCAACTACCAATATAGATAATGCTGAGACTCCCAACTACCAATATTAAAAATTCAGGGACTCCCAACTACCAATATAGATAATGCAGGGACTCCCAACTACCAATATAGATAATGCAGGAACCCCCAACTACCAATATTAAAAATTCAGGGAATCTCAACTCTCAATATAAATAATACAGGGACTTCAAATATGATAAGTGAGTTGCATCGAACACCACAATATTCCATTTTTTATATGTATGTTGTGAAGAATATCAATTGTACAGGGAAATCTGATTCATCCTGAGAACAACCTTTTAAATAATAAATAACACATCAATTGAAATATTTTTTTTCTTCAGGGGTTCATAAAACTAATGAGAACTTGTCCCTCCTGCCTTTCCTGTACAACCTTAGCAGCAGCGGTGAGCAGCAGGAGAGCAGCAGCAGTAGTAGCATCAGCACCAATATTAAGCAGCAGGAGAGCATGGAGATGTTAATGCCAGATATTATTGAACTAGTATCTGAGAATATAGATGTAGAAGGGGATGATAATCCTGTTGGTATGCTTGCCAGACCTATTCAGGCCGGTGATGATGACGAAGATGATTATGGTGAGGAAAATGAAGATAACAATGCTGAGGAAAAGGATGCAGAAGATCTGGAACAAGTTCTAAAAACTCTATCATCAGGTTTAAACAAATTTTCCGATTCATTGAACAATCAATTTTCTTTTATTTCCTCTAAATTTTGGAATTTAATCGTTCATGCATAATTTACTTCCTTCTGCATTTATCGGCGGATCATTGTCTACAAATCTCTTTATTTATCGGTAGATCATTGTCTACAAATCTCATTATATTAGCAGATTATTGTCTACAAATCTCTTTATTTATCAGCGGATCATTGTCTACAAATCTCTTTATTTATCAGCGGATCATTGTCTACAAATCTCTTAATTTATCGGCAGATCATTGTCTACAAATCTACTTCCTCTGAATTTATTGGCGGATTTTTGTCTACAAGTCTCTTTATTTATTGGCGGATTAATGTCTACAAATCTTTTTATTTATCAGCGGATCATTGTCCACAAATCTTTTTATTTATCAGCGAAATATTGTCTACAAATATCTTTATTTATCTGCGGATCATTGTCTACAAATCTCTTTATTTATCGGTAGATCATTGTCTACAAATCTTTCTATTTATCGGCGGATCATTGTGTACAAATCTCTTTATTTATTGGCGGATCATTGTCTACAAATCTCTTTATTTATTGGCGGATCATTGTCTACAAATCTCTTTATTTATTGGCGGATCATTGTCTACAAATCTCTTTATTTATCGGTAGATCATTGTCTTCAAATCTCTTTATTTATCCATCAAGAATTTAATTAGTAAACTTTTCGTTGCAATTATTTTATATGTATCTAAATATTGCTTAATTTCTGGAATTATCAATTATATTTGGGAAATTTTTGACTATTTGTTCCAGTAGAATTCATGAATTCAAGTTAGAGCTTGATATGAGTAATCAGTTCCTTTATTTTTAGTTTAAAAGGACTATGAGTGTAATTTGAAGTGACCCTCTCTCTTTGCAAAGATGGAAATGTCCGATTTACACAGGCTTTGTCTGATTAAGTATAAATTGGATATCCATGTTTTTGTTTCTAAAAAACTGTTTATTTTCATATGCGAGTTTTTTGCAAAATTGACTTGCGCAATGCGCATTGCTTGTCTATCAGAAGTAATGAAGAAACTATAAGAATTGAACACTTTTCGAGTCAGGAAAACGACAATATCTTCCACATTTTTGTTCACATTAAGGTTTAAAGGGTTGTTAATTAGGCATTGTCATCTTTGAATTGAGGGTCAATTGAAATAACTCTTACAGTCCCTTTAAATCGTGTTTTAATAGAGAGTTCTGAGAAATATTTTGAAAAGAGGGAAGAGGAAGGACTAGAGGATGCACAAGCAATAAATCCAGAGAAATTAGCCTATATACTGATTGGGGTGAGCATATTATTGAAACCATAGATTAATAATATTACAGATAGAACATTATATGTCGTCTTTTCAAGATTTTGGGGATTTTCCTTCACAATAACCCTGAGGCATAGGCCCAAGGAATAACGCACATGCACTGTTGAATGACATGACAAAGGGATCGCTGAAATCGTTTGAGTTTCTGCATCAGGGCGGGTTATTGTAAACAAACAAACTCTAAATCTTCAAAAGGCGACATTAAGTGTTCTATCTGTAATGTTTTTAATCTATGTTTGAAACGATAACATCACATGCAGGGTTACCCACAGAAAATGAGACTTCAGAGACTACCCTGCAGACTTTCTTCTTACTTGCAGTTCTGAACATCTGCCAACTGGTTTCATTAAAAAACTCTTTTTTAACCAGAAACCCCAATTCTAGGATCGTAGGATCGTTATATTAAAGCAGTTTAAAGCCGTCGTTCAGGTCTCTTCTTTTGTGGGTAAACCTTTAGAAATGAAAATTGTACAGAAGCTAAAACGTGTTAAATGTTAAATGGCGCTTACAGACAAAGGATGAGAATTCAGAGACGATTGTACGGAAATTGTTCAGTCCGTTTTTTTGCCTTCAGGGATCCTTGACGGCTGAAACTTGCTGCTTAATAATTTAGTAAACCATCAAAATACTTAATTGAATGCAGAAATCAAAAATCAAGCTTGAAATAGTCATATTTTAAAAGATACAGGACGTCGTTACAGTCATATTCTTTGTGGGTAACACTGTATCTAAATCGCAGAATCTTTAGATTTGATAGATAATTGACTGATCCTTTCTCTTTAGTTATGTCTATAGTTTACAATCAACATAATCCAAGAGGAATTAATTTAATCACAAGATTTACAACAAAAAGTTCAGACCTTAGATCAATTCAAATTTCAAATTTTAGATTTCCTAATACGACAAAACGGCAGAGGAATTTCAGAGTTAAATTAAGGCAAACCACAAGCCCAAAACTTGTAATTTTATGTGTTAGCTATTTTAACATGTGATATTGTGATAGTAAAGATATTGTTCAGAAAAAATTCATTATCGAATTCCCAGTTTTGTAAACAAACATCTGTTTATTTTAGTGATTTTATTTACAAAAACATTTCCTGCATTTAAGAAACATTTTTTTAGGTTTGCTGTGGTCTATCCATACTTTGTCTTGTGGTGGTAGCAGTATCTATAGGTATTATATATACAATATTTATCCATACTTTGTCTTGTGGTGGTAGCAGTATCTATAGGTATTATATATACAATATTAATGCTAATTTAATTAAATTTTTTATCATTTTTTTAAAAAGTTAATAAAAATTTTTTTTTTGTAAATTAGTTTTATGATATTAATATATAGAAGTATTTATTTTCAATATAATCTGTTTTTATATTTAAAGTGCTTTTATATAAAACTTTTTGTCAATTAAATAATTTTAATTGATTTAGTATTTTCATTTACATTTTTATTTCTGAAAGTTTAATCCAAAAGTTACATTTTTTCTTTGTTAGACTTGCCATAACTTACGGTAGCAATATGCTTAACTTGTCCTAAGTTATACTCGACATTATCATGGTAAGTTTGGTATTGCAAATGTTTCTTTTGCAAGTCACATAAACACCTCCTTTTATGATTTTTAAATCCTTATGTTACATATCATCTATAAAGCTATATATGTACTTATTCAGGATATAAGTCTGAGACCCACTATAGACTGGAGCAACCTAAGGAATTTACATCGTTTACATTTACATTTACATACATAAATTTTACTTTTTGAAAGGAAGCGTTAGCGAAAAAATGAAAGGGGGTATAGGCTGAGCCGAATTGAATTGGTGTTTTATTGATACTAATTTTACATTTATCTATGGTTGCGTCTTTAAGGAGAAAATGGTTAAAAACGACTCATTATTTTACCCAGACTAGATACTTCAGTTAAATTAAAAAAAATAATCATTAAGGTATTATAATATATAATTGCCGAATTAAATTTGGAAAATTCTTATGTAGTTTAGATATCATAATCTTTTCTTATATACAATGTACTTTTTATAAACATTTTTATCAAACGCTCCGTTAAAACCTTGAAACTAATTAAAAATTTTTTTTGACAGCCATGGATAAAGAATAAAGAGACGTTCATTTATTTAAAGGGCTTTGTTTATACCATCTCCAGCAAAACCAATTGACGGGTTTCAACGTCTTGGATTGACACGCAAGTCGGAAAATTGAGGGTCTTGGTCTGTCTTGTGGACGTCCCAGACCTTCTTCAAGACTCAGTCGGTCCTGCTGGGTCTATATTCATATATATTATATATGTTGTTCAAAGAATTTCAACTACTGAGGATCGTTATGATAGACGTGAATCATTATGTTTAGTAGAATTCTTTTTTAATAAAAAAGTGATGTTAAAAACTGAGATATATATATATATATATCTTCTATTTAAATTGTGAACATGTTCTTTTTGTTTACAA